TTCCCTATTTGAAATTCAGATTTGTATGGTTGAGTAACTTCTCCCATGTGTTGTGACATAAGAATAGCTTCAGCTGCCATTGCTATCAGCTGCAACTGTTTATTTCTTTGTCATCTACTATTCTATGTAAGCAGAAGGAATCTATCTTCCTGGTGACTGGCTAAGACATAATAAACAGGTGTTCCTCAAGGTTGAACCATTGATGGTGGCAGAATCTCTGCACTTTTTAGAACGTGACTGCCTGTTTTAATTTTTAAACTGGGACCTCAGCTCCCTTATCACTTGTCTTACTCCACCAGTATGTGACTTTATGTTATTTAATGTTTCTTCACACTGGGTTGGAGCAGTTCAGTGTTTTTCATTTCTCTGTCATTCTATCATGTGTCTTCATTCCTCCCTCAAAGTGAAGCTTGACCCTCAGCTTCCACCTCCACAACTTCTGAGTTGTGCTGGAGTGTCCTTGAATAGCAATGGCAGGTTTCATTACCAGTATTCAGGGCAACAGTGACTTCTGAAGCTCCCAGTACAGGCATGGTTGAGACGTTTTACATTCTCCTAGTTTTGGAACGCATGAAATAGAGATCACTTACAACTTACAAGCAATAAATCACTTCAATGACTTTTACTGTTTCTGCTGGAGACTTTTGATGTGGTTTCTGAATGGCCAAGACTTATTGTTTTGTTTGCTTTTGGATTCTGTGAAACAGTTGTTAAAAAGGCAGACCTTGAACAAGAGGAGCTGAACTTGTGAGGAACAATGTGTGTATTTGCTGCTCTTACTTTAGCAGTCGTATCAAGATCTTTGAAATAGATACCAAATCTACCAAAACGTGTATGCAATATCAGTTTAGCTGCAGTCTCTCTTTTACTTACCCATGACAACCTTCAGTATGGTTTATTGTCCCAGTGATCCATCTCTGACCCTTCACTTTGCTCTGGGATGTTTTGCATGGTAGCTTGCTTTCAAAAATGCTTATTCTACAGATCATGAAAGATGTAGCTTAAAAGTTATGATTCATGTATATGTTATGTTGGTGTTTGGTATGTTTTGCTCATTTCAGAATACTACTGTTCATGTTCATGTTGATTGGTAAATTCTCACGTGATCCAGTTCCTAGATAGATTCAAGATGTTACCTGCTAATGTTAGTTTGGGATAAGTTGAGCAAACAGTTGTGCATTTGAACTGTGGCAGGGTTTTTCTTGGTCAGATCCAACACCTCATTGCTTTAAGGTTTACTTGAACTTGGAGAATTAGTCTAATTGGTGAGAATGTTACACATTTTTTTTTGTCCATAATGTGTAAAAGCGTGCATGGAATTTACTTCATTTCTTTGGGAGTTTGCTTTCAAACTGCTCACTCTGAAAAAGAGTAACTTCCCTGCAAACTTCCATAGCCTATCTTCCTTTACCGAACATGGTAAATTCTTGTTTGTTTGTTTTGTTTCTGTAGAAGTATAGCCCACTCATTTTTCAGATCTCTACTTTCTGCAACAAAAAGTACCATCCCTACTTTTGTACTAGTTTTTGAGATTTAGAAGTTGGTTTTATTTGCTTAGACTTGTTATTAATGTAATAAGTATTTGTTGTTCATAAAGGAATTGCCGCTTTAAAACTGGTAAAATTCTGAAGAATAGAACGTGCCCTTTTTTGTCTGATGGATAGAAACCCGTTGTTAAAAAAAAAAAAAGGTGTGATGTTGTTGGAAGATTATGTGGCTGTTTAATAGCTTTACAGCTCTATGATGAGTTTTATTTTTAAACAAAATTTGTTTTATAAGCTGCGTTATAATAACGTCAACTGTATCATCTGTTCCTCAGCTGTTTTATTTTAAAAAATGTGCTTGATATGTCTCCAAATACTTCTGTGGTTTTCAAAAAACTTATTGTCTGGCTTTGTACTGATGATAAAATCGAAACGATGATAGGGTTTGAAGGAATGCCGTGGCTTTTAAAGCCACCACGTTTAACATTTTTGAGGTCAGAAATCCCGAAGTATTTTAGCCTTCACAACATTGAATGATCACCGATAATAAAAGCTTAAAAATGAAGACCAGATTTTCACAATAGTTGTGTTTTAAATAAAGCAATATTGTTCATGTAAATAATGAAAACAGCATATCAAAACTTTATCTGTCCACTTTATATGTTTCTTAAAGATTTAAATGAGATTGCTGTTATTACAGCTCTCATTGAATCACAAAAAGAGTGATGATAACTTAGCAACTTTTCTTCCTCAAACTTCAGATTATCCAAGTGAATCAGAAACAAATGAATTTCTTAATCAAGCAGAAAAAACACGTAGTAAAAGTAAAAACAGTCAGGACTTCATTAAGAAGAACATTGAGGTAAGCATTAAAATATAAAATCATTAACAGGTTGTTAAATGTTAACTGCAAAGTAGTATATAAGTACTTCTGGAGACAGTTGGGGTTTTTTATTGAGAGCATTAAAAGCTAATTAAGTATACATGAAAACGCTTGCTGTGAAAACATGTTGTTTAGGTCAGAATATTCTATAAGGTAGTTGTCATCTTGGATGCTCATACTGGTCAGGATAACACAGAATCAGTATTTGTGAAAGAGTACTGGACACTGATTTGTTCTGTTTGTGTTTTCTCTCGGAGTGATAATGTGTATTATGGCAATAAGGAACATTTGGATGTTAATGTCACAGAGTTTCAAAACTTTCATTTGATGCTGTTTGAGCTAATGGAGTTCTGAAGTTTGTTTATTTTTTTTTTTTGTAAATATTTCAGCTAGCAAAAGATTCGGGAAACCAGATTGTTATACTTGAGGGAGAAAGGAAAAGGCTAACTGAACTATTGAAAGATACAGAAGATGGAACTGAATTGCGAGGTCTTGAGGTATGGCAACTTTAATTTGTACTGCCCTGTTGTATTTGGCTTATTTTTACAGCAAATCTAAGTTCGATTTGCTTACTTCCTACCACAAAGTAACCTGCTGAGATGTTGAGAGAAAAGCTGGACAAATCCAGTTGGCTTTGTCTCCAAAACCAAATTTTCATTGGCGTCTTTGTTCATTTTACTAACATTCGGACATGCCTGGCCTCAGAAAACCAGCAGAATTTAAAATGTGGACACAGGTGGAAGGAGCCTTAGAAGCACACTCAGAAAGTGACCTATTTTCTCTGCCTAAAATGTGAAGTTGCAGCCTATCAATCTGAGTTGCTAGTGCTGTAGTCTCAGATAGAAGGGCTTGGGGAAAAAAAAAACCACACACAACAAAACAAACAAACAAACAAACAAAAAACACAAACCATAAACCAAGTAAAACTCACAAAAGCTCCCAAGAACTTTTTGAGGACGTGAACTTCAGAATGCAGCAACTGGGAAAATACACATTGATGAAGCTTGTGTATCCATTTAGAAAGATAACATGATACCTTTCCAACTCACTCTTCCTGAAAAGTATACAGAGGAGCTAAAGTCTGCTAAAGTATTAGATATTTCTGCTTTAACATATTGTTGTCTGCATACTGCAGTGGGTAGCCCCGCCGGCTCCAGCCCGACCCCAGCCCCCCCCCAGCTGCTGTTTTAAGGAAAAACTGAATTTTACAAAACAAATAAGTGGGGATTTCTTACATTCTTTTTCCCCAAACCCCTTTTGACAATTCCCCCCTGCAATCCCAGCCACCCCCTTCCCAAACCAGTACAGTTAAATAACAATTTAGATGTGAGGGAAATGAACAAAAGCAAATGCAATGTATTCTATTTTTAATCACCTCTTCCCAAATATTTTTTGAGTTATCTACTAATAAGGTGGTGAAGACATCCAAGAGGTGGATTCATTCCTGTTTTCTAAAATACATTTAAAATCCACCTTTATAAATTACTGTTTCAGGATATGGGGTGAGGAGGTGAACTCAGGTTTTATTTCATCTGAATCCAAACTGGTTAAGGAAATGGAGAACTAACCTACCCATGGCTTGTGACATTAAAGAAATCTGTAACTTACTCATTTTCAATGTGATTTCTAGTTTGAAACTCATTTGGTCTGTGGTCCAACCCATTTCTCTTTACTCTAGAGAAACTAGTAGATACACAACATGTTTTCACAGTTTCAGAGCTTTGTGGGGCACATGTAAGTGAAGGAGTCCATATCAGTCAGGAAAACCTTATGGAAAAATGACTAAGGTTATATAAATATGCAGTATTTTAACAGTAACTGCTTTCACTGTTCTCTAGTAGGGTAAAATAGAAGCACGTAAGACATAACCTTTGCTGATCATAGGTGTGTAAAGTTTGAAACTGTCAACCTGTCCTGGTTTAACCCCAGCTGATAACTAAACCACCCAGCTGCTCTCTCACTCTGCCCCTGGGGGTGGAGGAGAGAATTAGAAGGGTTAAAGTGAGAAAACTGGTGGGTTGAGATAAAGACAGTTTAATAGGTAAAGCACAAGCTGCTCACACAAGCAAAGAAAAACAAGGGATTTGCCCACCTCTTCCTGTTGGCAGGCAGGTTCAGCAATCTCCAGGAAAGCTGGGCTCCATCACACCTAACAGTGACTTGGGAAGACAAATGCCATCACTCAGAATGTCCCCAGCTTCCTCCTCCTTCCCCAGCTTAATATACTGAGCATGATGTCATTGGTCTGGGATATCCCTTTGGTCAGTTGGAGTCAGCTGTCCCAGCTCTGTCCCTTCCCAACTTCTTGTGCACCCCCAGCCTACTGGCTTCTGGGGTGGTGTGAGAAGAAGAAAAGGCCTTGGCTCTGTGCAAACACTATTTGGCAATAACAAAACCAACCGTGTGTTATTGGTGCTGTTTCCAGCACGGATCCAAAACACAGCCCCTTACCAGCTATTATGAAGAAAATTCTTTCACAGCCCAAACCAGCACACAGCCACACTCAGGGCTTGTGTTCATGAGATGAAAAACTTTGACTTCTATAAAATTGCACCAGTCTTCTTCCTATTGACCTGCCATTTCTTCTCTCACTTTACATAGAAAGCTTAAGGTTGTTTTTTTTTTTTTTTTTTTTTTTGGACACAAACACCAAGCTTGCTGATTTCACTTACCTGTGTAAAATACACATCAGTTAATGACATTGCACAGAGATGTTTGACTTGGCTGACCTGATTTAGCATTTAAAAATGCAGTGAAAGACTCTTTGGTCTAATTTGGATCTATTGGTTAGGAGAGTTGATTTTTATTGTACTTTTAATTTGTTGCATGCTGGAAGAACAAAGTTAAAGCTTACTGAATCATTATTTAATTCATCTTTTGTCTGTGCGTTTAGGAAAAGATTCAAGATATTCTGTTAGATCTGCTTTCAGCAGGTTTGGCATTGTAACCCCACATAAGGGTTCAGCTGAAAGTGTATTTCATCCAGCCTTTGAATTAGAAGAAACTGCAGGGTGAGGGTTGTGGAGTTCTTGGGTTGCTTTTGTTTTGTCTTTTCTTGTCTTGTTGGAAAGGTTGGTGTTTGATTAAAAAATACCATCTCTTCTCTTTGTCTTTCCTATTCAAAGTTGTGTTTCAATTTGAGAAAGTTGCCCTTCATTTGCTAAATGTCAGCATTTAAAGATCTGAAGGTGTTTTAAACAGTCTCCTGTTAGAAAACATCATAGCTTTCTGACATAGAGAGTATTGGCACTTTTATAATAATTTTATTTTACAGACTGCAAACATCTTCTCTCACAATGTGTAGTTATTTGGTTTCTGTTTTCTCTAAGGTAGTGCCCTTCCCTAAATTTAGAGACATTTATGGAGAACAGCTAATGCAAGTTATGACTAGCATTGTGTACCTTTTTTTGCACCAATTCTTAAGGCATCAAGGCAATGGGAAAGTATAACATCCAAATTTTGTATTTGGCATGTATCACTAGCATGTGGGCGAGTACCTTCAGAGGTTTAACTATTTATATCAGATTAAATAGATCACTACACAGGACACGTGTGTTGCTGTGTGTTCTTGGTACAGTGGACAAGAATGGGAATGGTAATTTGTGGTCTGGTCTGTACGAGATCATCTCTTTAAAGAAAACATCTCCTAAATCTACTGCGAAAGTAGAATAAAAGAAAGGAAAATAGTTACTTAAACCTGTCTGGTCTGGAAATGGATTCTTCCTCTCCCACATTTGAGTTATGGGTGAGGCATTTCCTGTGGTTGCTTTATAGCAAAGATCATGAGGAAATTATCAGCTAATGAGCAATGTAGACTGCTTCAAGCTGGCCCAGGTAACTGTCCAGCTGATGGCCACTTCCATCTCATTTCATTTTGACTTTCAAAAAGCTGGTGTAACCACATTGGCTAAAGTAATGTTTTGGAGGTTATCAATCAAGACAGAGCTGGCTGTGCTGTATGAATTCCTCTGTAGAGTGTAATGTGGATTAGATAACTTCTTTTGACACGTACTACTAAATATATCAAATATCCCAACAGCATTTCTCACTTTAAAAAAAAAATGTTTTATGAGCATTTAAAATATTTTAGAAGCACATATTCATGCTAATCTAATTGTCAAAGCTGCAGGAGTATAATTTGTTTCAGATGTTCCACAGTAATAAGCACTGACTGTGCTGTTATAAAAGTATTGTTCTGAGCTAGCACACAGGAAACATGGATAGGGCAGAAGTTTATTTTCCAAGCAAAGCCATCTTGAAAATACAAAAGAGAATGTGGGAGTCCATTTAACCCTGGAGTAAAGTGATTATTGGAGTAATTTGGGTACTTGGAGCATGGAATATGAGGGTATGGCATACAGAAGCTGAGCTGTAGCTGATGAGCCCATTTGCAGCTTAACTGACTCCCGTGGAGTCATTTCAGTGTGTTTGCTCTGTGCTCTTCAGTATCTGAGTAGGGGCTGGTTGACATGGAGCGAGTGTAGTACCACATAGGATACTTACAGTGGTCACTGTCTCACTTGAACAGATGCTTCCTCAAAGCACGGAAGCTTCTAGAGGCATTTCCGAGTCGCTTTTTTGGAGCCAGGTCATGTCTGATCAGGCTTACTAGTTGTGTCATCATACTTGTATGAGAAAGCATTAGAAGAACAGATTTTGTTTCAGAAAAGAGATGAGTTGTGTTTTTTGTTTTTTTTTTTTTTTTTCTTTTTAGTATGAAGGTAATTTATGACAGGTGTTTGGGGTAGGCTTTTTATCTTTTTGCAACCAGTGTATTTTAGGGTAATGGGGATGAACCAGGGATGACCTCATAGCAGTGGTATTGTAACTGGAAGTTGATATTTCCTTCTCTTGTGTGGATGTGGCTGCTTGAATAGCCAGAGGACTAATCTGGAAGCTGTAAAGGAGTGGTGGACAGGAATCCCTTGCAAGACAGATGTTGAAGTCTTCAGGCAAGGTGCTGGCCCTCTTCTGTCAGGAAGAAGGAAGGAAACAAGCAGTACACTCATTTCCTCACCCACATCCTTGCCCTCCCATTTTAAGGTCCTCGCTGGTGCTTCTTTGTGGTCAGGACAGACATGTTATGTGCCAGTGTCATTTCCAGTGAATGGTGGTTGTGCAGACTTGCTCCCCTGAGTGTGGGACAGCAGTGCCAGGTCACTGTGGAGAACCTGTTTGTGAATGTGAGCACGTTTGTCTGGGTTAAGTGGACTGTGCTTGCTCATGGCATGGTACTGTTTGTACTGAACACCTTCCTATTGGTTGCTCAGGCATTACTGCTGTTGAGGAAAAAGTAATGTAAACCACAATCAGGAAAAAATCTGTGCTCTCTGTCTCTCCCAGTTTCTGTAATGACATACTAGGGCTCTAGAAGGGTGGCAACTGCTCACCTCACAGCAGCTCCTTTCCTTTCCTATGGATGTCTTGTTTTCTTCTTTGGTGATACATTTCAGGTGTTGTATTATGTTTCATACCTTCACTCTGAACTTTGGCTGTAGTGGTTTCTGCCATAGCATCAACGTCTGCAGCTTCATTCTAAGCCTGGCTTTGATCAGACTTTCTCCATTTTGACTCCTTATCAGATGGAAAATGTTTGTGAATAGCTGCTGATTGTTTGTCCTCCTTTGACTTGCACAGGAGCCTGTTACTTCCACTTCCTTCACAGGACAGTGGGCTCATAGAATGGTTTGAGTTGGAAGCAACCTTTGAAAGTCATCTAGTCCAACTCCCCTGCAGTGAGAAGGGACATCTTCAACTAGATCAGGTTGCTCAGAGCTCTGTCCAACCTGATCTGGAATGTTTCCAGGGATGGTGTATCTACCACCTCTCTGGGCAACTTGGGACAGTGTCTCACCACCCTCACTGTAAAAAAATTCTTCTTTATATCTAGTCTAAAACTACACTCTTTTAGTTTAAAACCATCACCCCTTGTCCTGTTGCAAGGGTGTCACATATTATGTTCCACTTTATGAGGACTTCTAATGTGCTGCTGTGCAGGTGTAATTGGGTGTGTACCAGAATGTTTCTGCATTTGCCTCTAGACTTTGAAGATGCAAGTTCATGGGGGGAATTTGACAAGGTAATTCAGTGTAGTTGAGTGTCTCATTTTTATGTCTGTTGACTTGACATTTGTCTTTTTTAAAAGCAAAAAATACCTTGCTGTCTGAAGCTTGCTATATAGTCAACTATCTGTTCAGATCCTTGGGCTTAAGCTGTAATATGGTGTCTCCAGAAAAAGTGTGCAAACAAGGAGTGCCGAGATGCAAGGTGTAATAAGTGATCTAAGATGATATTGAGGATAGTTCTAGTCCAGTTTCTGAGGACTGTGCTTTTCCACTTCAATACTAGCATTGAAAATGTGAGCTTATAGCATGTTCTTTGTGTTTTCTGTCTTAGGACTGGTGCATGTACATCTGCCAGATGCTTTCCTCTTCGTCTCTATCCTCTGCACTATCTTGCAAAGGAGCACAACACTCCTAAATTGTTTTTCATGTCAGTGACATCTGAAAGTGATGCTTATGGTGCAGCACTGACAGCAAGATCTATGTGCAAGCTAGACCATGACCAGCAGTTACTCCTTCCAAAGGGAGCTGGGACTGTCATGTTGAACACATAGAGAAACAAGGGAACAAGGGAAGTGTTTCCATCCCTGGAAGGGAGCTGTACAGGCATGGTATGAGGCTGTTTGAAATGTTTGATTAATGTGGCTAAGAGGCTACGAAGTGAGATGCATCGTTAAGAAGAAGGAGTTAGCTATCCAAAGTACTTCTCTTGAGTGTAAGAGAACTTGATTAAGGGAGTTGTATAACCGTCAGAAAAATGGATGGGGAACTTGGAAGCTGTCTGATTGCTCTTTGGCCAGCTGGCTTGGAGCCAAAGCATCTGGCTTGAAGCAGTTTTATTTCAGAGCTTCTGAGTGGCTAGTCAGCGATCACACAGGCTTTGGACTTTTATAGAAATAAGTGAAATAATAGCAGAAGTCAGTTTAGGTTAACACAACATCTTTTCTGTTACTGTATTTTAACAGTGCATATAGATGCATGTGCTTTCTAAAAATAAAAAAATATATTTTTAAGTCCATTTAAGTTGCTGCTTGGTTATATTTAAAAATGAAAACTGTATGCCTCTAATTGTTCTGTCCATATTGGCTTCTGAGTGTGCTAGGTACAAGAATATTTGACAGATTTCAGCTATGGATGAAATGGATGATGATGGATGAAAACTTACGTTTTATTCTTAAGTACAGTTTATTCGAAAAATAAACACATTTAATAGGTAACTGCCTTTAAAATATGTTTCCTTTGGGAATGAAGTTTACATATTTTGTGTATCTTTCAATAGGAGGATGTATCTGGCTGGTTGGCACCAGGAGAAGGGTACACACCTGAAGCGATGGACTGTCATCACCTAAATGAGATAGACATTAAGCTTCAAGTACTGCTATCTGATGGGGATATTTCTGCAGTTTCCAGCTCTTGCTCAAAACCTCCAATCCAGATTCATCAGGTATATGACAGAACAGAGCTTGTTGCACATTTCTCATTTGAAGTGTGTGTTGAGATCTGATGTAAATGGAAATAGAGCATGTGTCTGTATTTGTATCTTTTCTTAAGTATCTGTTTGTTCCCAAAGTATATGTGTTAATGGAGTGAAATCTTTGGCTATAGAAATCATACAAAAAAATAATATCTTGCTCTTTTTAGTAATATATAATTCGACAGTCTTGGTTTGTAACATCTGTTGATTCCACACTTTGAACAAGAAATTTCATATGCAGGAATTGGTAACTCAGATGTTTTTAGCTGCATGAAGGCCTCAGTGGTTTTGTCAGCGTAGTAACACATTACCCATGCTAATTAATCTTAAAGAATTAGAATTAGGTTTCTTCTTGTGTCAGGATTTCAAAAGTACCTCGTCACTTAGGATCTGAAAGGTAAAGCAATTACCAATAAACAATGTTAAAGGCTGCAAGAAATCGATTGAGGTTGTATGTCCCTTGCTTTTAATGGCCTTTGACTTTTTCCCTTGCCAGCAGTATTAAGAACCTTTGTAATCTCAGCCTTGAGAAATTATTATTTGCATTTTGCATGTAGAAGACACTGATTTATCCCATGCACCAATAATACTGCCCCAGATATAATGGGGGAAATACAACATAAAATAATGCCTATTTTGCACAGGACTTGTTTACTTCTGTAAAATTTACAGTTTATAGGCAGGACAGGTATTTCAGAGGCACTATATGTGTATGGTGGCAAAACTGTTTTCAGTTACAAGTGTATGCGAAACATTTCTTTGGCTAAAATGTCTGTAGAGGTTTTTTCTTTTTCTGAAGAGCACTTTAATGGCATTTTTTGTATTGACTTCTTTCTGAACTTCAGGTTTTGTTTTACCTATAGTAGTATTTTCTGTTGCTGTGAGTTTCCTAGAGGTCACATTTTGTTGTTGATCATTTATTTACCAACGGGGATTTAATGTGTGAAACAGCAACTCCCTCTAGTGGGTAGTCACTTATGTAACTGAGCTGTTAACCAGTAACTTCAGGGTCATGGACCTCAGCTTGCCAATGGTTGTTGGATCTTGTGTTCACTGTTATAAGACATCAGCCTGAAGTTGGTGCATCTGCCTATGATAGTGAACACTCAGTTTGGGAACATTTGTCCAAGAGGTGGTTGTTGCTTCCTGTTCAGCTCAGAAGTATTTGAATAAAAACCTGCATTTATATGTATGCTCCTTGAAGAGTAATACATTAACTTTGTGAATCATATTAAACATAACAACCCAAAAGACAGAGTTAATTCCACAAATTACCCTTCATTAATGAAAAGCACTTGCCCTTCAGTTTTGTTTTGCAGCATATAAAAGGCTTTCAGGCACTGTAGTTATGGGAAACACTTACAGGATTCCTTTTGTCATTCTTTGTTTTGTCCAGATAAACATGTGAGTCATTTTAATGAAAGCTACAAAAACAAACAGGACTATTTAAAGGTGGGTTTGTAAAGTTAGAGAAAGCGCTAAACAGAATGAATATAAGCTGAAGTGAGTAGGAGGCTTTAGTGATTTAAAACTGAGTTTAGAAGGACAGTAATTATGTAAGTGCAAAACTAATTAAAAAACAAACAACAAAACAAGCAACCAAAGTAAACCCTCCTTCTCTGCAGCTATCTAATTCTAGAAGTGTCTTGATTTCCAGGTGCCTTCCCAGCTGACTCCAGATTTCTATAGGTACCTTCTTGCCTGTTTATCTGCATGTCCAGAGCTGCTTCTCTCGGCAGAGGACAGTGTCTAGTGGTTGCCTTAGATTTATTTTGATCTAAACCTTAGGCAAATCAGTGTGAAGTCCTTCATGATGTCTGGTTTGATAGGTGCAGTCTGATTGTGTCTGGCACTGTGACATGGCTGGCCTTGTACATATTTACCTAGAATTTCAGCTGCTATTTTTTTTTTTAATGCTAAGTGCAGGTTTACCCTTTTGTTCTGTGTCCTTGGTTATGGTTATACATAGCAATAACAACAGGTTGAGTTCTGAATTTGGTTATACGAGTTCATTCTCAACACCTTTTGCTTTCAAATTCCTTTAGTTTAAGCAAAATCAGCTTAGAATTGCATATCACAAAGCTGCCTTTTCTTCCAAGAATTGGATTCGATATAACTTTGAAAGTGGAAACACTTGGTCACCACTGGCTCAATGGGAGGGCTGCTTCCTGCTACTGGGGGATGCTTTGGCAGGATATCGGATCGGTGCTCTCACTCTGAAATGTTTAACAACTGGCTTTAATTATCCTACGGTACCATAGCTGAGCTGTTACAGAAGAGCACAGATTGGTCTTTTTGTGTGATGAGTCCAGCTGGATTCAGAATGCTTTTCCATGACTAATGTTCTCTTTTACGTGGAAATGTTTCTCATCAGAGCTGTATTTCTGTCTGAAACATTTCTTTGTTCCGGTGCCAACTTTAATAAATATTTAAAAATGCTTCTGTCTTAGTTAATATTTTTTGGGAAGAACAAATTAAGTTGAATGTAATCCTGGAAGAGACAGGAAAATGGTAGGATGAAGGATATGAATTGTAAGACTGTGTGTGATGAGTACAGTTGCCAACTTGAAAAACTGGTAAACTACCTGAAAATAAAAGGAAATGGAGTCAGTGTTTAAAGAAACAATAATATCTCTCTGCTTGATTGTCTTACACAACATTAATAATTATATTACCATGATGAGTTTTTTTTTTCTTAGAAAAATAGTCCATTTTTCAGTTATGGCAGTAAACTATACTTAACAGTTTAAAACTAAATACTCAAAATGGTAATACATTCTGAAGATACACTAATATTTCAATTAACAAACTCTTTGGTAGCCTATATTCTATGGCTGCACTTAACCAAAGCAGATGATTTTGACATGTATCTCTATTTCAGGGCATGGTGAGAAGCAGGTTAGTAAGCTGCTCAGCCAGTTCTGTGGCTCAAGAAGGCTGTATGACACTTAATATCTTTCGTTAGGTGGGATTTTGGTTTTATTTATAGAATTTTGGAGAAAAGGAAGTGCAACATAATTTTACCCATTTCAAATAGCAGATATTGCTGTTTTGCATTATGACTGTTAGAGCTCTGGCTGTTGCTGAGTGCTTCTGTCATCCCTTGTGTAACATATCTAACTTTTATTTTCTACCTAATCTTTAACATTTGTAGATCTTTATTCACCTCAGGTGGACTTCCCCTACCTACATGTGCTATATAATGGAAATATAAAACATTTTGAGGCATTTGAACCGTTGACAATAAGATGTTTTCTATGATATAATACTTACTATGTTTATTTCTTGGTATCTTGTGAAAAATACTAGAAAATTAGTAAGTGGGTAAAAGTCTTAACTTGGCTCATATGATGAGAGTTCTGATCACCTTCTATTCAAGGATAAGAGAAATGAGACTGTAAGACCTACTTCTGTGAAAGCAGCAGCCTAATGTTCCGTAGTGGTCAGATATCAAATAGATTATTAGGAACAATTATGAAAGGAATATAGAACGTAACACAATATCACTGTGCTGCTATACATCTGTAGTGCACCATGTAGCTTGACTATTGTGCAGTTCTGGTCCCCAGATCGCATAACTAGTACAGAAAAAAAAAACAGAAAACTGTTTACCAGAATGCTCAGAAGTGTAGAACAGCTTCTGTGCAAGGAGTGACTTACACAGAGATGCTCTTCAGTTCAGAAAAAAAGGAAAAAGAGGGAATGTGATTGACGTATGTAAAATTATGCTGATCAGAGAGAGTAAATAGTAACAATTTTTTTTTACTATTTCATCTAAATAGAATTATATCAGTTGTCAATGTTGGAGAAATGTTGAAACAAATACTTCTTACTTCTCTTTTCTGGTAAATGTTCGTAGTTTTATCCAGCACACTGATTCTGATAAAAATTGGTTAGGTATCATGGCAGAGATCAATATTCAAGAAAAGTTGATGGAGAATGAAGTCATCATGTTTATCCCTGTTATGAATATCTTTTGATAAAAGAATAGTGTCTTAGTAGAAAAGCTACCAGGCTTAAAATATTACTGAGTGTGATAAAGGGAAAAATAACTTATGAAACATAGTTTTCCTGAAGTTTGAAGAGGTTCTTCATAAGTGCTTGCAGCAACTGAGCTATCTATAAAACGAAACATGTATGCCTGAAACTAGTTGAAAAACTAGGGCAGAGATCTGCATAAAGCTTTGTTTCAGAAATGTGTGGAAAAAGAAGAAAAAAGTAATAGTTTTTTTATTTTGACTTCTCTCACTGCTACCTTTTTAAATGTAGCTGGTATTGCAGCATTAGTATTTACAGAGATTCCATTTACAGTGTGAGGTTTCTTCTTCACTGAAAGCTAAGTTCATATAAAAATATCAATGACTAGTCTCATGCATACAGCCCCCAAAATAAAATGTCAGGAAGTATAATACTGTATTTAGTGACTTCTCAGTACCACTAGTTGCATGCTCTTATAGGTGTATGCATAACATTGGTTTTTAAAACAAATCATAACTGCGGCTCTGATCCATGCTGAGCAACAACTGCTCACATGGCAATGTCTTTATCTATCCACAAATAACAGATTGTATTTAGAAATATAATTGCAGAGATAACAATTTTTATTAAAATAAGAAATATTATGCAATCACCTTCCTCCCTGCCCTTCCATGAACAATTTCACATCTATTAAAATCACTGGAAGAACAAAGTCATGTAAAAGCAATTCTTCTTCTCAGAGGGAGCTTCAGTTGTTGTACTTTGAGCCGCTTTGTGAACTCCATATTTATATTGCAGATGTAAAGGTCATATCCTTGTTTAATGTATCAATAAACACAAGTTTAAGTAATCCTTTGGGTTTTATTATGTTCTGCATAGATGTCATGCCGATTTCTTTCCATTTGGCATCATATTTAATTAAAAAAATATCTCTCTAAAGCCTAGCTTAAGACACTCAGCATTAAGAACTTGGCTTTAAGTGGCCCATATTAAACTTCAGTCCACTTTGGAGAGATTCTAGTCATTAGCAGATAGTGCTGTTTATATATATATATATGTATGTCAGTAATTGGAAAATTTACTGCCAACTACTGCTGATTGTAAATATATATTCAAATATTTGTACTGTGTTAAGTTCATTTTCAGGCAACCAAGAGTTAATTTTAAATGTCATAACTCATAGATTTGTTTGATGTTTAGAAAAAAATTGTTTACAGATGCTCACAATTTTTTATATCTTATCATTGAGAAATTTTCCATTGAATGTTAAATTGCAAATGTTTTTCTTTACAATTAGATACGCTACTTGAAATTCTTTCCTTGTGTGTGTTTATTAAGATTGAATAAGAATGAATAGATTAGGTTGTTATTAAATGGTTGCTCATGTTCCTTTGGGTTGAGTTGACTAACAGTTTCCCTCCCCTCCAACCCCCCATTATTTGTATCCCTTGGGTTCTTCTATAGGATCTGTGGATTGCAAGAGAAAGCTGTTTGTTTTTTTTTTTTTTCCAATTACAACATAACTGCTGCTTTTCCAATACTTGTCATTCTTAATGGCCTGAATTACATGTGTTACTGAACCTTGGCTATTTTCAGGATTGGTACAAACTCCAGAATCTGATGCAAAGCTATTTGAGTCTATATCCAAAGAATGTGAGAATGTTTAACCCAATTCTTTTATAATGGTTGTACAACTTACAGAGAAAGGGTTATTTCTCATTTACCATGGTATCTAGAAAACAAAACCTACAGTTATTTCAGCTCAGTTCTTCCTTTCCCTTCTGGCCTAATTCTGATCCCAGTATGGTTAGTAGGAGCAAGCTTTGAACCCCTCATTCAGTCTCCCTGATTCTCAGTGCATTTTTATTGTAGTAGTAGAACCAAAGCATCAAAGGGCTCTGGAGAGTAAGCAATTCCTCTTAAAATGTAAAGGGAAGAATTCTTTCATTGAAACAAGTGCAGCCTGGTGTTTAGCTTTTGTATCTGAAAATGTGAGAATGAAAACGATGCATTTGTCAGATTTGAAATTCACATATTATTCTAAACATTTCAATATTTTCCTGATAGAAATGAAAAGAACACTCAGCTGGCTTTGAAGTAGTATGATATGTTTAATTTCTACCTATTCCTCTTTTTGTCAGGAGTCTCTGGTTTATGCAAACAGAAGCCTAGAAGCAGTTCCAGGTGAAAAGGTTCTGCGAGACAATAAGGAACAACGTGATCATCAAAATCGTCTGAGAGAAATAGATCATCAGCTGAAATCCCTGGAGAAAAAGGCTGTAAGTCTCCTATTTTTGTTATCTTTTTTCTCCCTCAGTTTGAAAACTTCAGAGTTTATAATTCCATGTGTCTTAAATAAAATCCAGTTCTGGAACCTTGTGAAGGTTGTTCCTGAAGGAATCCCCAAAGGAATATATAAGCAAAATATAACTAACAAAATACATGAATTTCATGGGTGCATGGGCTTTTAAAATAGGACCATGTAAATAAATTGGTAGTAAAAAAACATTACTGTTTTAGAATAAGTACATCACATCTCATCCTTACTACCACTTTGACTAAAAGCAGGTAGGGAAAAAGCAATTCAAAATCCAAGAGGATCCCAGTGTTAACTTAATAGGCATTAATTGTGTTTATTTTCTAAGTCATAGAGCCAAGACTGACAAAGCCAAACCTATGTCCCTCACTCAAGTAATATATTACTATTCTCTTTCAGTAAATATAATTTATTATATCACTCTCAAGTTACAATAAGGAAATGGAACTAAAAAATAGTGACAAGGGAACCTCAAGGACTTCAGTAATCTTTTTACTAGTTTGTAAATAAACATTGTAAATGTGCTGTTTGATCTCTGCTGAAAGAGCTACAAAGCAGCCTATACAAAAGAGAATGAGAAAGAAAATACATAAATATTAAAACCCAGATGAATTATAAGGGAGAGTCATGAGATGATACAATTGATGTTTTTGTTTGTTTGGTGTGAAAGCCACTGTTGGTATTTGTTTTTATGTTGAATCTCTCATAGATCTTCTTCAGAGCACAGGAAGAAAATAGCTTTCCTTTTTTTATGTTCTGTTTTTATTACTTTGTACAAAACTGTGAAAGTTTGCCTCACTCGGATGAAGTCAGGAGTGAAACTGCTGAAAGTGCAAAAGATCATTACTGATCTAGCAGGAGCGGTTAAAACCTGGATATATATGCATATTTTTAAGATGTTAACATCTTTGTTTAGTGTTAATTTTCTGCTTTGAGCTAAAGCTTTGGTTTCTCCATAGAATGTGCTATGTGGAGAAGACAAACTAGTAGAGTAGTGTGTGAGAGGCTGAGGTGAGCTGATGGCTGGCATGGGTAACCTGAGGGAGCTGGATTTGTACCAGGAAGCCCCAAGTATTTTGGCACATTAGCATGAAGCATCAGTATAGGTAACTAACATAAAAATGTGTGCAAATGAAGAGGGTGATGATTTGGGACAGTGAGCACAGATTTACCACGGGTAAGTGATGCTTGACTAACCTGGCTGCCACCTTTGAAATGAGTAGATCTGCTCTGTAAGCTGGAGAGCAGGGCTGCCACTGGGAGTTAGACTGGAGGAGAGGGATGACAAGAACTGTATGAAATTTGTAAATTTGTTCTGCATTAGAGACGAATAACTCCTTCTGACAGTGCAAGTTGGAGCCTGGCTGGCCAGGGAGCAGCCATGCTGAAAAGGACCTGATGTCATTGTGGACAATACACTGCTCATGAGCCAGCAGCATGCCTTGCAGTGATGAAGGTTAGCAGTCTACTTGCCTGTATCAGCATGAGCACAGCCAAAAGATAAGGGAAGTAATTACTCCCCTTTACCTGGTACTCATTAGACTGTGTACTGCATCCAGTTGTGGACTCCACAGTAAAGAAAGGTGTTGACACACCTGAGCAACTTCAGCAGAGTGCCACCAAAATGATTTGGGCTAAAGCACTTGACCTGTGAGGCTGACGAGCCTTGGTTTGTTTAAGCTGGAGAAGAGAGAGCTCAGGCAGACCTAACAGTAGCCGTCCAATAGCAGAGAACATTACAGAGGAGACAGAGCTGTAGTATCTTTACTGAGTTACATGGTGGGAGGACAAAAGACAGTATGCATAAATTGAAATGGGGAGGCTCCAACAGGACTTAAAAAGCAAACCTCTGAAGGTAATTAAGAATGGGAAGCAGGTTGCATGGAGAGACTGTGAAATCTCTGTCCTTGAAAATTTTGCAGACCTGGCTGGACAAAGCCATAAAGCATTTGATCTGATCTCATAGCTGACTCTACTTTGGACAAGTTGGACTAGAGACCTCCTGATATACCCCCCCACTCTGATGATTTTTTTCATTCTAAAAGGAAAAGGATCAATAATTTTTATGCATTTCTCAGGTGGTAATCTTTATTATCACTACACTGAAATTTTTCATGGCTGTGTGTTTTAGAAATTTGTGTATAGCTTATTTTAGTATTTTATTTCATGTAGTCATAAAAACATTAATATGAGTTTGTTGTTTCAGAACAGAAACCCATGTAGTCTACCTTTGGCTCGTGGAGGTCTTTATTCAGCAGTAGGCTTGCCTTTGGCAGTAATCAGAGTTAGGACAAATACTGTTCAAGTTGTGTTTTATTGCTTTCAAGAAGGGATCTCCAGTACAGATCAAAAGCCTCATGATTCAGATAGCAGTGTAACCACAAGGTATAATTTCAGTTGCTGATAGCATTATCGCTGCAGTTGAAAAACTTCAGCTACTATCTACATATGCAGAGTGTATGCTGGCAGTGCCAGAGCTGCACAGCCAGTAGGATTAGACATCTGGCAGGTTTCAGGATGATTTGGATACAACTACATGCAGTTTAGTCTTTAGTTTTGGGAGAAAAAAAAAAACAAACAAAACCCAACAAAAAACCCCAAACAACCAAAATACTAAATGAGATGTTCTTTTTGATGTCAGATAATTTTACACACTTGTGGAATATGGGAGCAATGACTTCAGACAAGGAGATGGGGATTGCATTAGAGTCTGGTCACGTGTGTGTGTGTCACTACAGTAAGGCAGCATATTTAGCTCCAATCCGTTCACTGCACTAAAACAATAGTAAACCTTGATTTTAATATACTGCTTTATTATGTTAGACAGTTAAAAGATAGGAGGCAAATAACTGGAGGTTAATGGGTAAACAGATGAAATAAATCTGAGCATTGTAATCTTTTCCTAGTCATTGACCTTGTATCGCTTTTTGTCACCACTGGCCTTGCTCGTGAGACAAACACAATCTGAGGAAGTGCGTCTGGGAGCCGTGTGTCTGGAGGACACAGAGGCCTGGGAAAGGCAGCGGGCCGCTGACTCATTCCCGTGTTGTGCGTGGAGACGGGTCAGTTCCAAGGCTTGGTTGGGTCCTGGCAGTATTGTCTGGTACCGCGTCGCGTGCCGAGCCTTGCGACATAGCACACGTTCCTCCTCGGCTAGGCCGGGCGTGTGCAGAACTACGAGTGGATGGACTGTAAGGGCAGTTTGCAGTGTTTGTAAACACAGAATCCGTGTTCTGGGCCCTGTCACTCGTGGCCAGACTAGGCCATGCTGGGTGCTGTGCAGCACCTGGTAAGGCTTCTCCAGGGGGACACACTGTGTCTTCTGATCAGTGGCTGCTCTGTAGCATGACTCTGAGATCACAGCATATGGGTAGGAAATATTTGTGTCTTAGTTCTTCTGCCAGATACTTTGGTTGCCAGTGTAAATAAAGAAGCACTCAACTCAATGAAAGTAGGGTTTTCCTTCTAGCAGTAAAATATATAGAAAATATACACCTTTTTTGTGTGAACAAAGAACAGCCTTCAGAAAATACTACTTTTTTTTTTAATTTAGTTTTGTGTCCTATATACCTTCTGCTCTTATTTCTGGAAAATGCAGTTATTACTAGAGATGACTGGACCAAACAGCATGGTATCACCTTCTGCTGCAACACACAGAATAGAATAAAATTTTTCTGATTTGCTGTGGCAATGTCTAAAAGTCAGGTAACATTTGCGCAGTGTGGATTTGGCACCGTGTTTCAATACCAAAGTAATATTTTGGCCATCGATTCTGTAACAGTGTTAGCAGCAAAACTGCTTTCTGCCAGGAAACTGCTAAACTTGAATGTTTGTGTTGGGGAAGGGAGTGCATAGATGGCATGTTTCCAGAATAATTTAAGTATTTCTGGAAATACTGTTTGTTATTCAATAGGTGGCACTCTTCACTGTATCTTAGAAGGAGGTTGCCTAGGCATGGTTCTTGGGGATATTATTACTAGTGAAAATGTAATTTCCATGGTATAAAAATACAGGTTGTGAGAAATCATCTCTCACTTTTGGCAAGATTCCAGGTGTGTAGCTTTTAACATTCAGTTATTTTTCCAGCTTAACTAATTAAATTATCTATTTAAAATGCACATTGCTTTTAAATATCTGCTCTTTCCTAAACCACTGCAATTCACAGCACAAGACTGGAAGTGATTTCCCCTGAGTAAATGAGGTGATTTGTCAGAAGTTAGGAATGTTATTTCTGAATGTATGGTTATACCAGGCTTTATAATTTTAAAGTAGTGTTTTATAAATTTAATGTCTGGAAGATAACATTTTAAAATGTATTTTTACATTAAAAATGTATTTTTTAAAGTCCCTCAGATAAGATATTTTGTTGTTGTTGTTTCTTTTGTTTGTTTTGTTTTACTTTGCTTCCTGTGTGGAAATTTCTGGATAGTTTAAGCAGAATTTAACTCTGTGCATTAGGGAGTGACTTACAGTGGGTATAAAAGTAACTTCAATATTTGTGTGTGTGTGTGTGTATGCTAGAATGCTGTATGTATTCCACTACTGCAAAAGGAGTTATTCAAATGGATTCATATAATGGTAGCTTTACTCTGACCTTTTCTTCAAGGGGGAGGGCTACATTCATCATATTTCTGGAGCAGGCTGCTTAGTAGGTGCTGGCTTCTGAAATTTTAACCTATCTGAATTCCTCCACTGGACTTGACTTCCTGTCTGCTGTGAGACTTCATGGTTTCAGCTAAGCCTGGAACTGAGTACACAAAGCAAGTCTGGAAGATAAGACTTTGACATATTTTATAATCAAAACCCAGAAAATCTGCTAAGTATTGTGCTTAAAGTAATGAAACTAAGGCTCTTTGGAGTCAGAGTTCCTCCTTTATTTTGGAAAAATTGTCCCCAGTGAATTAATATAGCAAAGAATGTATTGTATGCATTGTGGGAAAGCATTGTGAAATTTCAATCCAACCGAAATGTATCTGTACTGTGGTTTCTGGGCCCTTGCTGAATTTCTTTTAGGTTTTAGTTTGACCTTAGTTCACTTGTTCTTCATTTGAAACCATGGCTGACTCTCTCCGCATTCTTTCATCTTTCAGTTTCCAGGAAACCATTGAGCTTATCTTTGTTTTGTGAATTGCATTGTTAACTGCAGCTTCAAAAAAAATGTTCAGCTGCCAAATGCGTGTTGCTGAGCATTAATGAAAAGAATCTTATATAGAAAGAATAATAAATATAGTTATTTTTCAATTGTGGCTTCTACTACTTGGCCATTTGTGATAATCCAGCAGCATATTTGATCGTGTGTTGAATTTCTTCATGGCAGGAGGCTTGAATGCACATGCAAGGAAGCTGTTAAGTAAGATAGTTTCACCTTTGCTGGCTATAGCTGTATGTATTTCAAGTGTTTGAAACTGGAAGATGATTCTTTCCTGCCAAAACCTACCCACAGATGCTTGTTTTGTGGTTTTGGTTAAGTATATAAATTCAAAAATATTTCAAATTAATATTGAACATATATATTGTGTATAATTGTGTGTATACGCATTGGTATAAATAGTGTTACCTCTTAGCATGACTGAGATACTGATATCTACTTAAAGAAAAAGTTTGTTTACTCACAGTAAGTACTCTTAAAACACAAGCTAAATCAAGTTTTTCTGGTCTTAAATTTAAATTTATCATCAGGTCCATTGTACATCTTCAGGAATTATTTTTTCACAAGTTTATGCAATTTGGTGGCCAAATGCAATATCTGATTGTTAATTATTTTTATATATCATAATAATAAGCATAATATATTTTATTTTTTAATATCAAATAGTATGAAAATACATGTATTCTGTTATCTGAATAGCTGAACTTTGCAGGAAGATGAGCAATTGCTGTGGGTGTTGCAGAACAAACATGGAAAAATACAAACATATAAATGCTGTCAGGAGCTTTGATTACCTGCATTAGTTCACTCCAAATGTCAAGATTCTAACACCTTCTTGATGCACAATAATGCATTTCTGTGAGGAAGGAAACCTCAGGATAAAATTAATTATTGTTTATTGCTGGAGAAAGTCTCACAAACCATTTCATGGTTTCATACATAATTTTATTCCAGCTTTTTACCTGAAACTGATAGAATTCAGTATAACCTGATCCTGAGTCTGCATTAGGCACTGTCCAGAAAAGGAGAAGAACTTGTTCCTGACTTCTTTCTTCCTCTTTAAAGGGAAAAAGAGGGCAATCCTGTAATCTGGTTTTCAATCACAGTGTCTGCAAAAATTAATCGCTAGTACTTTTGACCACAGGAACATAGCCATATTTTTTGACTACTTTGTGCATTGGTCCTTCCAGGTTCTTCCGATACCTGTGTAGCAACATATTAATAGCAAACATCCTCATGTCAATTCACTTAATATCGTGTAGTGGCTGGTTTCTGAATCAGCATAAGTTTGTCTAGAAAAGTGGAACTTGTTCAATGAAATATTTTTGTAATACAGATTTCATTGCACCAAATAAAGAGGAAAAGGACAACTTACCTAAATAAGGTTGAGGTGTATCACTTTCTATATGATGTCTTCAGAAAGTATCTATCAGGTCCTGAAGTTGCTTGCCAGGTTGTCACCAAACTTCAAAGAGATCTTTTTTATTCAAGTTTTGCAAAAGTTCATTCTCACTATGTGATTGTACAAAATTGTTTCAGAATGAAATGTGGTAACGTTGGGAGAAAATATTAATGTGAAAACCTTATTTTCTTCATTTAGCAGCTACTACACACATGAAGAGAGCAATAAGATTAAAAGCAGATTGATAAAATTTAAATATTTCACTCATGATTAAAATAAATTACCTGTTTATTGATTAGTTTTCACAGCACTGTGGACAAGAATAAAGCAGCTGCTAAAAGTATTTATAATAAAGTTTGAAAATTATAAATTGCATAAGAACTTGATACAATTAAATATTTTTTGTATAAATGTGTAAATTGTATAATTTTTTTAATACTAAACTATATTGAAATACTAATCAGTTAAAATTGTCATGGTGCTTTTAGTTTATGTGGAAAATGAAAATAAAATTTGCATGGATACTGGAGCCACTTAAATTGAACTACATCTACATGATGGTAATTAACATTGCCAAATTGCATTTTAAGTATTTGTTATACACCGGCACAGTGTGTGAGAAATCATTGCTGGAATTTGATACCTGTGGCAAGACCTAATTTAAAACTAAGGGGTTTCTAGATGTCCTGGTTTTGCTGGGGCAGAGCCATGGGTCGGCCGTGGTCTGCAGGCTGTTAGCAGTTTGGAGGCAGCTGACCCAAGTTGGCTACAGATGTATCCCACCCAGTAAGCATCACACTCAGTATAAAGGGCAAAGTTTACTGTGGAGGGGGCCTCCTGCCTGAGGTCCTCCTGATCCTGCTTCTCTTCCTGATCCTGAAGATGCTGCCTTGTTTGTTGTGGCCGTTCACTGGGCTGAGTATGACTTTGTTTGCTTTATGCGACCCTTGTTTTTTCTTTTGTTGTTTTATTAAATCTGTTCTCACTTCAACCTTCTAGTCTCCCCTCCTTGCCCTCATCTCTCTTCTTGCCTGTGGAGACGTCATTGGGTAACAGAGGAACTGCTGTATCTTAGCCCCAAATATGAGCTAAACATAGAGCAGAATGATCAAAGTTTCTGTCAGCTCAATGTACTGAGCCTCCTTCTCCCAAAATGTAGTTTCCAGTTAAGATGACTGCTCTGCTCATTGGTTGCCCCAGAATGGGTAGAAGAAAACTGAGAAGCATCTTGTACTTCTTTCAGCTAATTTTGAACAAAGGAAGCCTAAAATTTTCAGTTTTTGTTTCCTTCTAACTGCTGTATTGGTTCTTGCCTTTCCCAGTCTCTTGCATGTGATCTCCTTTTCCTCTGTAGAGTTGAGCTTTCTCACGTTTTCTTTTTGTCTCCTAAATATTACGGTGTTTGCTATCTTAAGCCATCTTTGACTACCCACCTATCTCAATTCATGTAGTGTAGTTTGTAGTCATTGTTAGATCTTCAGTTTTGCGTCTCTGGTGTGATTTCGGTTTAACTGCAACTGCACTACTTTCTTAAATGTCTTTATAAATTTCATTTGACACCATCAAACAGATTCTTATGGGAGATGTGTTTTGAATTCAGTTTATGAACATTGATTTGCTTTTATGCTTTTATATTCTTT